CTTGGGTTTCAAAACTCTCCAACTCTGCTTTGAGATCCATATTGGAAAGGCTGCCCCCTGGTTTACATAGAAAGAGTTATGCTTAGTCTACTCTGTTCGTGGCTGTTACCTGGTATCGGAGACACAGACAGAGACAGACATACAATGTTTTCATTAGGGAAATTTCAGTTACAAGCAAGGAAATGTGAGTTCCACCAACCTTTGTTAAATCTAACGGGGTTGGAAAGCGATTTGGAATTCATCTAAACAGACAATGATGAAACATGTTCTTGTAAGTCTCTTTGGTTTTATATCACCAATGGGGCAACCGATGGAGACATGGAAAGCACCTTTTCTTTCTCATTTGCTCCATGCTTGTCATTAGGTAACTTATCTTTGATGAGAAGCTATATAACAAAACTTTAGACCTAAGAAAAGCACTTAAATGTTCCTTTTTTTTATGCAATTTAAGTCTCCTTCCTCCCTTTCATGTGTATGATTGCTTAAACCCCATGACGAATCTTCTTGTTTATCATTACAATTTGCAGTCTCTCATTTACTTCCCAAGTTAACCACATTTCTGATGGAAATAATGCAACACAAAGTCAATACTTGTCTTAACTATCATTCTCGAGATCGCGTAATTTCTCTATTACCGTCACTATTCAAGTCTTATACTAATAACTAAAAACTCTAAAACCTAACAGCAAACGGTAACAGTGGATGTTAACATAAGAAATTTACTAGACACGTGATGTAAAATTACGAAAACAACCAAACGGGACGGACATCAACTAAAGACAAAAGATTTTTGTTCGGCATTTTCTGGCTTTTACCTTCATTGAGTTATATACTTTTTCTGTGTCCTTTCTCAAAGGCAAATCGGCTTTAATTGTGACGTTGAAATCAAATCAAATCCAGAGGAAAGTGAAGTACCAAGCAAGCTAATGTTTTTCTTTCCAATATTTGACATCGTTTATATCTTCTCTTTATGACTTTACCTATTGTTGGCAAAGCCCCAAGACTAATAGCACCATGAGGCTGATGAGAGGCACTCTTTGGATCTTTCAACAATGTTACTGTCATTGAAATGCTTGCACTTCACGGTTCTAGTCTAATCGTGAGTGGATGATGTTTCCCCTCTTAGCTCCGCAGTCGTAGCCCCTTCAATCTTTCATTAAATTCCACCCACAGCTTAAGACCTATACCAATCTTGGGTCAGCCATGGCTATGCGTATCTCTGGCCATGCAAATGTCCCACTCATCTGCAATAAAGGCTTTCGTCTTCCCTACTTTTATCCTCCTATCCTAAAAAATCCCCTTCCATGTCGAGTTGCTTTCAGCAATGATGGGTGTTTTATGTCTCCAATATCATTTTTCCAAGGACTTTTAAGCTTCGCAGAGATGGTATTATGTGACCTAAGGCTTGTGTATTAAAAAGGTTATCGAAATACAACAATTCTTACGATCATCAAACTTTAATATTTCTGTTTAAATGATATATAACATGAAAATTGTCGTAACGATGACATACATGTTATCAAATTATCTCATATATTACATGAATAAAAATACTAGTCGATATTGATTTACTAAATCTATTGTTGATTTTTCGTTGAAGTTAAAGCTCGTTCGGGTACAAACCTAAAGGTAAAAAATTTGTTTGGAAATGATGTGAATGCTTAAAGCTTAATAAGGGAAGTACAAAGGAGAAATGATATAATTAAATATGTGGAACTTCCTTTATAGTTACACTTTCTTCTTTAAATCTTATGTTAGATTATTAGATTAAAGTGAGGTTACCATAAGGACGTCCCCTCTTTTCCCTCTCGCTTTCTTTTCTGCCTCAACGTAAACAGCAAGACACGTTTCAGTGCCTGCCCGTAGGCCACAGGGGGGCCCATTTCCATTTCCATGAACAAATCTTATAAATATATTTTTATATTCATGCACTTTTCTTCTTTACTTTACTTTATTTTATTCTTCTTACATTTTTCCTCTAAGATTGATCTAAGCAATCATATATGTAATATGTTGGGGGGCAAATGGGGTGTTCGTACATGGCTGTTAAAAAAAAAAAAAGAAAGAAAAACAATTATTTTCTTTATGCCATTATTGTGTAAGTGGGTCTAGTAACAAAAGGAACACTTTCAATATTTGGAATGATTCTCTATCATGGCTTTTATTATTAGATTTCATGAATATTTTTTTGGGTTTTATACTCTTTTAGTCTTTTTTTTTTATCCATTTTTGGGGCTAGATATTATAATATTTTTAAAAATTTGAATATACCTTAAAACTTTTCTTAATTAAGTGAAAGTGAAAGTGAAAGAGAGACAAACCTTTAATTAGGGATGTCAACGGTTGGGATACTTCCTATTTTTAGATACCTTAATTCGAATCTTATTATTTGATAAGGTATTCAAACCTTATAAATACCCGATTAAATTTTCTAATTGTTACTTAAATACATACTTGAATATCCTTGACATTATCCATTAAACATATGTATTTGTTAAATATCAATTAAAAAAAATTTAAATTGATTTTCGTGTATATTATTAATGAAAATTAAATTAATGAATTAAAGTTCAAAATTGTAATTAGAATTATTAATGAGTTTTAATAAGTATTACATTAATTATAAAATATTTAAAAAATAATATATATAAAATTAAAATTTAATATTAAAAAAATGATTTATAATTGAGTTTAATTAAGTAGTGGTTATCTGAAAATTATTATCGGAACTTGACAATCGAAGCAGTAATTTTATTATCTGAATCCGATTATAAAATATCATAATCTTATCTAATCGAGTGAAATACGACACTCATAATTAATTGATATCTTAATTTATCTGATAGATTCAATTATTGGAATATATGAGTTTGACCTGCAACTCCTGTCGTCGGTGCAATTATATATACAACTGGGTATTTCAATACTTATCATTACTCAAAGCACCCCAATAACATTTGTCGGGCAAGATTTATTTTTTGACCAGTGAGCATAGCAATTAGTACCCAGAAATCTTTTCTCCTTTTGCAACCCGATCATTTCTTTCTTTGTTGAATTCAAAAGGTAAAACAATCTCTTTTGGATGTCGGCATGTACACTTGGATTCTGAATCCACCAAAAAGGATTCAGGATTTCAGAGTCTGTATATACGTACAATCATCAAGTCATTTCCCTGAATATGTTTGTCCCACTGACATTTTGCCCTGATATTGATTATTGAAGTAGATGGCTGATTTAACTCCATTTTTCCAGCTTTCAGCTTATGTATATGAAAGAAAGACAACTGATATAATCAACATCTTACATCTTAAAGGGGATTTAGCCCGTGGAAAACCTTTTAGCAGACAGGCAACCTTGTGGCTCAGATTTGGGGTAGAAACATTGATTAGTAATCAGGAAAAACATAAGGTCAAATGGTGGATTGTGAACCAGAATGAGATTTGTCAAGCTAGGACAAATTTGTTTGAACCCATGTTTCCACTAAAATAAGGTTTTTATGACACCAGCACTACGGGAGGTGAGCCATCGTTGCTACAGAGTGGGGGTGTGAAGGGGTTCAAAGAAAAAAGAAAAGCCAATGGTTGCAAAGGCATCAGTACAACCCTGGACTCTGACCCTTTGTTGGTTGTCACCATCTTTCACATCCAAAATTTTGGGGTGCACGAACTTGTGATGGTGTGTGGGTCATCTGATCTTGATGAAACAGCAGCTTCTGATGATTCAACACAGCATTTTCTGTAGTTTCATGGCCATGCAAGAAATAAAAAAAAATTTATACGCAGCAGATACCACAAACATCTTAGTAGATATTGAACTGAACTGATAAAGACTTGGCATATGGTACAGAATTTTCATTTTCCCTTTCTTTTTTCTCTTTTTTTTTGGGGGGGTGTGGGGGTGGATAGAGTTTCCTTTTTCTCATTGCATTAATTGAGAGATTGCTTTCAAATTATAGAATTGGTGACCATGTCGGCCCTGATCAAGGTATACATTTTTCCGAGCTTGGAGCAGGAAAGCATGGAATTGACTGCATAATTTTTCACTATCTTAGCTACAAATCAAATCGGATTCTTGAATTTTACATTGACCCACTACTTGTTACGTCTTAGGTACCAACAACCTATGATGAAAAGGAAGAAAATACCGTTAATTCGGATCATGGGTTATGAACAATAAAATAAAATAGAAAACCATCAGATTCCTGTTACTTTCTTTTTATTCCCCTTCAAGGTCTCTTTAGTTTCAACCTCAAGGAAGGTCGCTTTGGTTTCACTGCAAGGTTGCCACTTCTTCATCACTACTGTATACTTACATATCTCTTCGAATCAAGCACAGAATTTATTTTCATAAGATGTTGTAAATGTTACTGCTACATTAAGAAGAGTTACAGCAATCCTGGCAGCATGAACATTCCAAAAGCTTTGGAAAACCATAGATGATTGACAATTTTTTTGGACCAATCTATAATCCCATAAGGTGTCCATGGGGTGCGGGGCTAGCTCATAGTTTTCTCTCTCTCTCTCTCCAATAATAGAGGCCAGCGAGCCAATGCCTCTTGGAGGGACTCGGAGAGTGCAAGGGAAATGGGGTGGGGGGCCTCTGGCGAGCCAGCAGCTGGATCATATTCATCTGGTGGCTACGGAAATCAGCATCTGACAGATGGAAAATATAGGCCCAGAGATAATCCTGTTATATTATTTTCTGCCACCGGTTTCAAGATATACATCACAATCTAAAACCTATCTTTCCTATCTAACTATATACACATTTTTCTATAATCTCATGGTATTTGAAAATAATGACAATGAAACTCTAATTTGTTTCTGGTGTTGAATTGAGCTGAGAAAAGGCTACAGGATGGTTTTGGTATGGATTGTGGGTTCGGATCAAATTTATCTACTATGAAGAATAGGGGTTTAACTTGAGCAAGGAAAAGACAGGCATGGAAATAGAGCCATAAATGCACATAATAGTAATAATGGTAGTTAGTTAGACACCATGGAAAGCTTAGGACCACAAGAAAAAAGAATTAGTAGTTTTCACTCTTGGTGACTGTAAGTACATTATTTCAACTGTTCTCAAAACAAATACAGGAAGAAAACAAAAAACCAAAACAAAAGAAAAAAGAATGCACAATAGAAGAAGAATACAGATTGAAAAACTCCCCAGAGAGAACAGCTAAATCACTCTACCAGGTTATTAGAAAAATACCCAAAGGAAAATTAGAAAAAGAGAGAGAGAAGGGTAAATTAAGAGACTCATTCCAAACCTTGTCTCAGTAGAAGTCGTCCTGTACTATCAACATCTGTGTGTATTGGTTTTTCAAAGAGGTGAAAGAAAAAAGAATGCATTTACAGTTCTGTTCATATCTGCTGGAAGACATCAAAATTTGCTGCGGTTAGATCTTCTGACAGCGACGTTAATGGATAGCTACTGAAATCTACCGAATTGTGGTTGTGAAGCTGGCCTTCTTGCCATGAACCCGGTTTCAATTCCTCGGACTTGATCCCGTTGACCTGAAACTGAAACATGGAGTCCAACTTGTTCTCAGCATCCCACGAGAAAGCTCCGTTTTCCACCATGCTGTTCATCTGGAACCCTGTGTAACTGCTGATATTTGAGCTGTTGCTAGAACTCTCCTTTGCCTCGTTCAGGAGGAAAGAAGTGCTTATTCTCGAAACTGAATTATCAGAAAAGTCTGTTCCGGACATGTTTCCGTGATCAAAATTAGTTAGACTTGGCATTGAAGTGAAGGTGAAGCTGGAATTCGTCTCAAAATGGTTCTGATCAAATGGCCTGACACTTGGGTGGTATTGTGGTACGAGATTGGAGTTATACCCACTTGGATCAATCCCGGCCTGCAAATCAATGTAAGCCAAAGGATCGTAGACTTGCTTGTTGATAAACTGCTCTCTCGAAGCTTCTGTCAATCCACTACTGTAGCAACCTGAATCACTGACAAGAAATGTTGGCTCATGAGCAGCGAAGGATGATACAGCGCTAGCAGAGAGCCCCTTAGACTGTGGGATTTGCAGCACTACCGAATCTGTACGGTTCTTTTCTTCTTTCGCTTCAACATTATTGCTTAGCGGCTTGTGGGTGGTAGGGTCAATGCCTTGCTTCATTAGTTTCTTCTTCAAACAGGAATTCCAGAAGTTCTTGATCTCATTATCTGTTCTTCCCGGTAACTGTGCTGCAATTTGAGCCCACCTGGAACCCCGTGCGAGGAAATCAGTCAAACCAACAAAAAATCAATCAGTCCCCATTAATTTCCACCTCTTTGGTTTATCAGATAACAAAACGAATTTTGCACGTTCTCTGTTCCATAAATATTAATTACCTGTTGCCTAGAACTTCATGAAGACTGATTATGAGATCCTCCTCTTGTTGTGAAAACATTCCTCTTTTAAGGTCAGGTCTCAAGTAGTTTATCCATCTCAATCTACAACTCTTTCCACACCTTTGCAAACCTGCAAAACAAATTCATTTTTGTCAAATTCCAGGCCAAGGAAACCCAACAAATGAATCCATCATATACAGATGTTAAAAATGTGCATGTGGTAATGAAAAAACACACACACACCAGCAAGCTTAGGCACTGAACTCCAGCAGCCAACCCCAAATCTCGTTATGTAATTAAACAGCTTCTCATCTTCTTCAGGAGACCATAAACCTTTCCTTAACTTCTGCTTGAGACAACAAGAATGGCGCCCCATTTTCGATCAGAAGACAAAACACAGACAACGTTAACCCACAGGAAGAAAAAAAAAAAAAGAAAGAAAAGGTTAAAGTAAGCCGCTAGCTAGCGTGATCCTGTGAATGATTCGGACATGGAAAGGTGAGATAGAGAGAAGGGTGTGGGTTTATATGTCTTTAGATATCTTTCCCTGTGTAAATTGTATGATTGGGAACAAAATCAAGAATAATATTTGATGATTTAAAGGGATGAGGACTAAATAATACTTAGAATTCAAGTTATTGGGAGAAAGAAAGAGAGCTTGAGAGGAAGGTGAAGCAATCAAGTGGGTTTTACGCAAATCTGGTGCTGCTTTTGCATTGGGACTGGATTGATTTTTAAGAAATCTTTATTTTTTTTATCTCTAGAATAAATAAATATATATATAAAGTGAATTAAATGGGAACAACTCTTAAAACGTGTACTACTTATGAGTAAGAATAATACAGTTCAATGCTTTGATGTTCCTCTACAGGAATATTATCCTTAACTTTTTAATTAATTATATAATAATATGACTTCCATGCCTTATGTTTCCCATAAACTCAACATCTCACCCTTTGCAATTTAATTTATCTCTAGGCCAAAACATAATTGGCTTATCCTGACCAAAAAAAAAAAGAGAAAAAGGATTTCATCCAAATATCTTGTGACGAGTTTTGATTTTCGATAAAATTTATTTTTAAATTTTTTTGATGAAATCATTATTGCCGAAAATCGATCATAAAAATGCGATATCAAATAAATGTAATTGATGTCAAAATTTACTATGAAAATTTTTGTCGAAAATTGACTCCATCAATTAATTTTTTTAATAGTCCTTGTGAACGGTTAATTAAATAAATGCATATATCATACATATACTAGTCATATATATAAATACGATCATTTAGGGTTATGTTTATCATATGTAACATATAATTATATTAAAGCATTACTCAATTAATAATTCATCGAATAAGGCTATGTATAAACTTTGAACTATGTATGAATATAATCTAAATGAAGTTATAAAACTCAAAATAATATCAACAAAATTTAGAGAGCTAATTAAAAAATATTAAATTAAGTAGACTACCACTGCCTTCATAATTAAAAGCAAATTTGGTCTTTTGGGTTACTATTGCCATTGAGAAAAAAAAATTAAATCACAAAAAGGTCATTTTCCTAGAGAGGAAACTTCAATGAAAAAAAGAATCATAATTAGTTTAAAGCTAATTATTGTTTTCATATTAATTAATTAAATAATTTAACACCAAACAAGTTGTCTAGGACCTTTGCAAAAGTTTCAATAAAATAGTGTTTTTTTTTTTGCCTTGCTTGCCAGCTACTGTACCCCAGTGCAATGCATTTGGGATCATGTCAAATGTTGTACTATCTAGATTTTCCAATTAATTTTTTAAGAAATTTATAAATATTAAAATAAAATAACAATAAAAAAGAAGAAAAAGAAGTCAGCCGACACTAATTCATCAAGAGCCCTGGGGTCCATGAAAATATATAAATATATGGACCGTCAAAAATAAAGGATACCCTCAAAATTATTAAATAAAAATATAATATATATATAGTAGTAATAAATTTTATTTATTTAATATATTAATTAAAAAGAAAAAAAATTTGGTTTCTTTTGATTGTTACCTTTTGGACTGCCTATATTTGGTAAGCATGACGATTGAAGACTAAAGAAGAAAGTCTTTAGCTAACAATTGACTCAAAATGTTTTTAAAAAAGTTAATTTCATAATTAAAAGTTTAATTAATCATTTAAACTCACATGGGGTAATTAAAAAAAGAAAAGCTTATGTTCGATTTTTTATTTAATTGTCTGCAAATTGGTACCATCTATGACATAATTTATTCGAAAGGATGATTAATTATGTTGAGTTAGGAGGGAACTTGGTTCTAGAAAGAAATTAATTACCCATGATTACCAATATTGAAACAATACATTGCTACTTGCACAATTTCATTTGTCTCTAGTCACTAATCAATTTTACAATTTTATTAAAAAAAAAACCTAAATTATAAACGAGTATGATATATTGATAAATGGGAAAGGATGTCGAAGAATGGACCACAATTGGGTCGTCCATTAAATAAAATATAATCGGATATCTTATATTATTTAATAAAATAAAATTAAAATGTTTTATGATTTAATTCATATATTTTACACTATTTGATTTGATTAAGTAGGATTAGAATTTTTGGCAAAAAATTCGATTCGGGTAAAATTAAGATAGTAAAATTACTCTACATCACGTGTTCGGACATCGATTAAAAGTATTCATGTCATCCTTAATCAATTATAAATAAACAATTTATAGAAAAATTTATATGATTTGTGTAGGGTTTGGTGAAAGTTGTAAGGAGAAAAGGTGTTTTGGCAGAATTGCCTTGAAACTCCTGGAAATCAGGTTAATACTGTGGTAAAGGATGCTTACTGTTTGCTAGTTGGGACATGATGGCAAAGGCAGAAGGGCTGGGGTAAGGCTGCAGCTTGCTGGTTGAAGAGGCTGTACGACTATTGTACTTGGAAGCAATAAACCGCGTTTAGCCATCAGCTTCATAATTTCCTTTGTCTACATTACAAAATTTCTGTTAAGACTTTTTTTTTTACCATCTGACCATCATAAAAAATGTAAAATTAAATTAATAATAATGATTGTTTTAGCAGTAAACCAAGCTTGATTAGAGTAAATTAGAGCTGAAATCAGTTATAAACGCTTGTTATTATCTCGAATACCTTGGCCGTCTCATTTTATTTATTTTTAAATATATTTTTTTGTTAAATAAATTCATCAATTTTGATTATTATTATTTACAAATTTTGAATTTTAAAGTTTTTAAACTATAATTTTGTTATAAATAATGATTAAAGTTGAATTCATTGAAAAAAAAAAGACAAATAAAGTAGAACAAAGAATTTTTTTGTTTTTTTAATAATTTAATTTGTAATCATTCATTTTAACAAGTAAGGAAATATCACTTGCTACTAAAGTACCAAAGGGGTATAAATTATGTCAGTGACCGTGACGGTGACGGTAAAATTATTTTTAATACTTAAAATAATCATCGTTAGCATATATGAAATTTATAATTAATATCTAAATTTCGATATCATATGAACAACTATGAATAAATGAATTAAAAAAATAACAATAAAAGGAGAAAAACATATAGAATTACTACATAAGGATGTAGTAAGTTAATTATATTAGTAATATGAAGGAAGCTGAAATGTATAGAGAGAAAATAAAATAAAGTCCAACTAATTTTTCGTGCAAGCAATATAGTATATTAAACCAAATGATAATATCCATTTAATGCCTCATTGAGTAAACTGAATTTATAAGGAACATTTTAAGATTACTATTCTAAGGACTAACTTTTGAAATTTAATTGTAATCCTATGTGCACTATCTTAATAAATTCATAAAACTACTTCAATGACACATTTAGTATCTTATTTTAGGGTTTACGATAGTTGAGAAATCAATTGTTACCGTTTTTCGTATTAATTATTTTGTTTTATTCTTTTTTAATATAAAATACATTAAAATTTTAATTTTAATTTTCATAAAAAAAGGATAAATATTTAGAAATGGAGGAAAATCTCCATTGTTAAAGATCATCAATAAATGAGGGACTTTGATTCTTTATATCAATATTAATTAATATTTTATATAATATAAAAAGTTAATCAAATTGATCGAATCGAGTAAATATAAATTGGGTTTATTATTTTGATTTTAAAATATAATTCGATCGATTTAATTATTTTTTAAAAAATTAATTAATTTAATTTTTAAAATTTTAATATAAAATTGATCGAACTCATAGAATGTTTTGTGGCATAGTATAAAGAGCCTTTAGCTTGAATGAAAGCTTCAATGATTGAAGGTCCTTCTCATGACCGACAGATACACGTAATACGAAATAAAAGCAAAAAAGTTTTATATATCTTGGAAAATAAGCAGCCAGGCAGCCAGCCAGCGCGGCGCACCCAATCACTCCCTCATTAACCACCATTTCGCTACAAATTTCTTGGCCCCCTTTTGTTTTGTCTGTCTTTCTTCGTTTTTTAATGTAGTCGCAAATTGATCCTCTACATCCCACCACTCCCTAACCTTTTTGCACACCATTCCATATCTCACTTTTTACCTAAATTTATACAAACCCCTGGTTTCATCGTTCGGTTTAAGAAAATCGAAACTTAAACAAATTGAATTTTACATAAAAAATCGATCGAGTCGATTAAAATTTAACCAAACAAGTCAAAAATGATATCTAAATTAAAATTAATCAAGTTTATCAAAATTTAAAAAAATAATTGAATAAATTGAAAAATTGATGATTGAGATTCGTATATGATCTGATCGGATGGTTGAGATTAATTTCTAATCCATAAGGGTAAAATTCAAAATAAAAAATAAAACAAGTTGAATTTTACATTAAAATCGATCGAATCAATTGAAATTTAAAAATGAGACGAATAGGTCAAAAATGAAGTCTACATTATAATCAATCGAATCAATTAAAATTTAAGAAATAATTGAAGGGATCAAAAACTAGTGATTGAGATTCCAATATGATTTGACCAGATGGTTGAGAATAATCTCCGATCCATGAAAGCAAAACCCAATTGTAAAATGAGGTTTATTGGATGGTAATGTGGAGAAATAATTGAAGGAAATGAATATTGGTGGAATGAGAAATAATTTTTGGGGCCATGGGGGGGGATTTTGAGGATCTTGACTCACACGTGAAAAATAACTTTGTCAGGATGTGAAATAGAATATATTATTACAACCAGAAGGAATTAATGTTAAATTAATTAGTTTGCTTAGAAAATGAATAATAAAATAATGACATCATGTACCATTATATAGTTTTGAAATAATAATTGAAATAGTATATTTCTTATCAGAAGATATTATACGATGGTTTGTTAAACTCTGAACTTAATTAAGAATATTTAATTAAGTCTAATCTAAACGACAAATCATAATTTAATTTGTGGAGTAGATGGATATATAGAAGATTCCTAATGTCTTGTTTGTTATGATGTACTTTTCTTCATAGGTTCTAATTGAATCTCGATTAAAAAATTGAGAGCCAATAGATTAATTAATCACCCTTTTTCTTAGTACAAATAGGCAATTGTTGTTTTCTTTGTGTTTATAGTCACTAATTAAGGATAGTTAAAATGTTATTTTACCAAAAAAAATCATTCGGTAATGAGAAATTAACTTATCATCAAGAGAGCAGGGAAGACTAAGGGAAGAGGTCGAGGGAGGGAAGAGTGCAAGGTCTATTTTGAAAAATTCTCTTACATT